TGATGATGATGATGATGATGGTGATGATGATGGTGATGATGATGATGATGATGATGATGATGATGATGATGATGATGATGATGACCTTTTAACAGGACGATGACGGAGATATGTCTGAATGGCTGGGTCAAATGAAGGGGAAGATGGAAGGAGGGATGGACAAAGAGGAAGAGGCCGAAAAAGAGAAGAAAGAACATTTCTTCATGTTCTTGAAATTCATGGACTTCTTGAAGAGCAAGCACGATGAGAAATCAAAACCATTCCACGAACTCTTCAAGTCTTTTGCCAAGGTAAGAACATTCTTTTCTATTCTTTGCTCTGACTTTGAATTGGTCGCTTTTAAGGATAAGCGGGCTAACCGAGATTTTATCTACACCAAAATTGGGTATTGTCCTACCTTTAGGGGAAGTTTGGTTTCATTGGTGTGTATGTTTGTTTGGTTACGGAGAACACTGTACTTCTCTTTGAAAGAAACGGAACAAGGGGCAAAAACTTTATCTTCGATTTTCTCAAAACAGCATTTTCGGGATAGTCCCCTTCTGCTTAAAAGCGGCCAATTGTAAAAGAAAAAATGATATAGATCTAGATTATTTTGATATTATAATGGCATGTTTCAGTAATTATTATGTGCGAGAATGCTGATTATGTATTAAACCCAACACTAGTATTGTTAACAATAAGTGTTCATTTATAGAAAACAAACGTGTGACTGTGAGTGTGTTTGTTACTCTACTCTGAGTGTATTATTGTACCAATAAGGTGTTTTGGTACCGATGTGGAAGAGAGGATATGTGAGAGACAGTCTGCCTATGGGTGTATGTGTGTGTGTGTGTGTGGGGGGGGGTATGTGTGTGCGTGGGTATGTGTATGTGTGTGTGTGGGTGTGTGTGTGTCTTTCTGTATGTGTGTATCTTTCTGTACGTGTGTTTGTATGGTGAAACACCAAATTAATGTGCCATTCTTCTATTTCTTCTTCTTCCTCTTCTTCTTCTTCTTCTTCTTCTTCTTCTTCTTCTTCT